ACCGGTCGACGAGTGTGTCCTAGCTCTCTCATTTCGACCTTGCATCCTGTAGTTAGTAGCAGTAAATGTAAATTACCCTCTAATGAACGTGTTATAAGCGAAGAAGTTGTAATTTATAGGCTGCAGCCTTCCGCATTGCATGAGAAAATCTGTAGTTTGTGGACGGGTTTGCAAAAACCCTTGCAAATTACTTGTAAAAGAAAATCAATTACGTAATAGGCGGCGATATCGAGAAAGAAACGTATAGTCAACAGCGTGATTAATGTTAATCTTGAGTTGCAACGATCGTTCAATTGCTTCTCTAATTATTTTCATCGTTTCATGTCTTGTAATCCATACAGTGTTTCAGAACTATCATTTCAATGCACATGCAGTATTTTTAAATAGAAAGCGCGAGTAAAGTAAAGTATAATATAAAATTAGAATTTTCAAAAAATAAATTTGTTTACTCGACAAGCAAGGATTAATTAATTTCATTATTTTGCAATAAAAAGCTTGAATTTAATTCTTCTAACAAAAGCATAAATTTTATTTTCCACTGTTTAAAATGTATTTTCCCATTCATTATCTCAAGCTGAAAAATGGCGAGAACGATTCGAGATTAAATGACAATTGTTCTACAGAACAATCGTCTCAGAATTAAGTAAAAGAAAATTTGTTGTGATGCAGTGAATCTTTCTTGAAGCATCCTGTACACATTGTTGCTCTTACTTCGAGGCGGAGGCAAAATAAGCTATTCCCGTCTTTTTCCAGCACACTGTGTTTCTCCCCGTTCCCCCCCCATGAATGCTAAACGCTTCCCGCCACACGCAGTTGTCCGGAGCGGAGAAAAAGAAGAGAACGGATATATTGGCGCGTGTGCCATTCACGTTTCTGCTTAACCTTCCGGCAATCGCGTCTGTGTACAAACTGCACGAATTCCGCAGCACACAGACGATATTCTCGCATTTCAAAATACGAACTTTGCATATGTCACTTTTTTTCAGCGTTTTGCTTTTATCCGCGCAAACACGATACAATGCAGTACAATTAATAAAAAAGTGCGCAAATAATTAAAAAAAAAAGATATATTTAATAAAAAGAATACGCGCAACTCTTATTAGAACATCCGCGATTTTGGGTACTTTTTCGATATAACTCACCGGCAGATGTAGACCGCGCGGTTGCGTTTTTCTCGCATCGAAAATAGCGCAACGAATTCGGAACGAAAGAAAGCCGGATGGTGGATTGTAAGTACGAGTGCAGGTGATTGAAAGCCGATACTTCTGCACTTGCACCGGACGCAGTTGCATGCGCCAATCGTTGTTGCACGTCTCCCTCGGGCGTCGGACAGCCGTTTCGACTGCGTCTTTGTATCGGCGCCGAAATGTTTTTCTGCTCATAACCACCGAGAGCTATCCGTTCAATTATGAATGCTCTCTTCAAATTTTACCGTCTTGAAAGAATGCGCCCAATTATTAGTAATGCCGTCGAACAACGCACGGCAATTCGAAGGCATTTATAATAATTAAAGAGTGCAACATTGATTAAATATTACGATATAATATCGGCGCGTTTCGATATTTGTTAAAAATCTGATTTGTCGAATCTATATAAATCGTAAAATTTCGCAGCGTTCGAGACGGAACGAAAGGAAAGTTGAACGTTGAACGACAGCGCTTCAAGAGTTAAGTACGTTCTCGGTATTCTCCCGATTGTGTGGAGAATGTACTTGAATACATCGCGACGCAGCTCCGGCTGTCACTCGGATTATTTACCGAGGTACTGGCGCAATGTGGAAAAGTGAAGGAAGAATTATGCGACGTGGTGTATGGCGCGAGGAGTCGAAGCATGTGTAAAGGAATATAACACCTCCAGCAAAGGCAGACCAGTGCTATGAGATAACGACGTCGAGATGTACGTACACTCTGTCGTCGGAAAATTCAGAAACATGCAAAAGATAGAGATCACAGAATATTTTAGACAAAACTTTACATTTTATCTCCGAAAATATTACTGTTAAGTAATAAATTTAATTATATTGTAATTAAAATATAAAAAATCAAATTTGAATTCGTTTCTTCGAACGCACATAATTCACTCAAGTCTTTACGACATCGAAAAGTATTTGGCAATAAAAAGAAAAAATCTCAAGATATAGATGCAAGATATCAATAACTGTTTATTCCATTCCCAAACTTTCTGACGATAGTGTATACGCGTCTCCATCGGTACCGGATATCCGTGAGGTGACTTGCGCAGCATGCCATGCGGGCGTAGTCTTTTCAGAAGGGCCGATTAAACACGAGCGCGTGCGTCCGGTGGGTGACGACGATCGCCCCGTCGTACAAACGAGAGAAGATTTAGATTACTATCGTATGTTGGGAGAAAATAAACGCAAGACGCGGCGGCGAGTGATTAACCCCTTAGGCGCCGATACTTGCGATTGGACACATCATTTTCCACGCCAATTCTTTGTGCTATTGAAATGTTTCGTTTTATCGAACGCGTTAAATAAAATTATATTTCAAATTTTTTTAAATAATTGATTCTTTCAAGTGTTATGAATGTTATACGCGTTCATAAAAATTCGTAAAAGACAAGACGTTCTAAATAGACAATTTTACTTTGTTAAGAGAAAATTGTTTTTAGTGAACATTTTGCACAAATTGAGTTAAAACTGTACCGTACTAAGTTTTCATATAGGTAATCTCGCGCGAGTTATTTGCGAATGTCGTGTAACGGAAGTGTGTAATAACACATCAATTTATATAACATTAATAACATATAAATTCCTCAAAGGCCATAAATGTTAAGGCCACACAATCGTACAATGGCGCAAAAAGAAATACCGAAAGACGAAGCGAGTGCCTCGGGCCAGATCGCAAATCCAACGTTCCGCGCCTCTTTTAACGATCCTTATAAATCCTTAACAGCGGCGGGTTTATCGCCGTGACTGCCGACGGCGATCGGGTTGCGACTTTCGTAGTCGCGGGAACCGATCGGGCGCATACCGATCGTTGAACGGTCGTCGCGCTCGTGAAAGGTGGAAAGAATGGTTCGCGACATTACGCGCGTGCTTCCGACACGCCGGAAAATTTGGACATAGAAGATCGCAATATTCACCGACTTATCGACCGAAAGAAACATCTCTTTATTAACTAATTAATTCCCAAGTAATCTTTATAAGCAATAAAAATATTTAAAAAATTGCAAAGAGTGTGAAATTGTACAAAAGTATCCGCAATGTTAATTCCAGGATTAAAATTCTAAGATAAAATTTTTCGTCTAAGAAATAATTCTTCAAGTTTTTCATATTTCTTGATTTGAGAAAATTTCAAAATTGACGGCAAATTTGTGTCACCAAAATTACACAAAATTACACGAGAATTATCAAATTCCTATCTAATACTTCATGATTGTCGCTGAATGTCGTATATAATTGCGATCGATGGTTCACGCCGATCGTACCGTTATTATCAGAGAGATACACACGCGCGGGAGAAAAACACTTGTTCTCGGTGTGAAGTTTCACGGGGTCAAGTGTCACGTAGGAACGTCCGCACGAAGGATTAGTCGCGGACGACGCGATCTAGGAGGTCCGGTGTATCTTCCCCTCCGATCGAAAACCGGGACACGACTCGGCGTTTCTTCGTGCCAACTCGAGCGCGTCGAAAGAATCTCTATACAGTTAGCCGTGACATCGACGACGGGCGTTTCTCTTTAAGTCCCGACGAACGGAATGTTTGTTCACTCCGTCAGCTTCGCCTTCCGTCACTGCGCGCGGTGCAAAATTCGTTACCGAGAACTTTATCTGAAACGCGCGAAGAGCGCGCGCTTCTCTCTCGCCGAGATTAATCGGAGTGTACTGTTTTTGTCAATATCCGAAGCTTCTCTGACAATTGCGAGAAAATGTCAACTTGTTTCTTGACTCTTGTAACTATAACTTATCAAGAAATATTTTACTAAATAAAAAAAAATTATTCAGGAAGCGCAAATGACAAAGGATTCTTTGGCTCGCGTGTCCAAAAATAGAAAACAAATATAAATCTTCAGAGCAAAATGTGAGCAGATCTCACCGAGCTATTTACCAGTGGTGCGCGTCTGTTTATTTGCACAGATATCACATAAATTTTCGCTTGTCCATTTTTACGCGACAACGAAAGCGTGTTACACAAGCGTCCAATATATATAGCGTTGTTAAAACGCTGGTACAAACTACGATTTAGCGAATTTGTGAAACGTAGACCGTTCAAACAATCAAACGCCGGTCGCGCAAAGAGCTCGGTTGTTATGCAAATGGAGTAAAAGTAAATGCGTCCCGAAACGTTTGACTTTTCCTCGCCCTCGTTCGCATCGGCATATAAGTTCGCGACGGGTGTTCGAATTAACGTTTGGGCCGCGGGTAAATATAGCGGGACCACCCAGAGCGTGCAACTAATGTAGCGCGGTAGTGGGAGAGATTCCGCTCAAGTCGTTTTCCTCTTTTTGCTGCGCATCCTCCCCTTTTCCCCCCTCGCGAACGATTTATCCGCTGTCTTTCTTGTTCGTTCGTTGACTTCCCCGGTTTTCCACACCGCCCGTGAAAATTTACGTCGCGCTTCTGGCGAACGAAGGGGCGAAGCTAAAACCCACTTGGGAATAATCAGTACGACGAGCTCTCTCGGGGATTTTCTCACATCAATTTATTTTCCCGCGTCACTGTTTTTCGACGCATTTCAATGACTGACTGGCGTGGCCATTAGTTTGCTTCTTTGCAAAGTGATTGACAAAAATAAGGAAATAATAAAGATAAAGAAACAAATTATTTTTAGTAGTGCAAAGTTAGATTTTTTTACGTCAATGTAAAATAAACGAAAATATATCTAAAACGTAAAAAACGCATTGTTTGTTTCTTTGTTAAATACTTTTCTTCCTAATTTCTCTTTTTTGTATTCGCAAGTTTCGCACGATATAACTCGCAAATTCGGAGATCGTATTATTACACCGTCGAGGAGAAAAAAAAAGAAGATATCACTTACCCTGCACCCATAACTGCTCGACTTTGCTATTGACTTGCGCGGATTTGAGAGCGACGCAGAACGTTCCCAGCGCGAGGATGGACACGAAGAGCACTTTTCCGGCGTGCTGCTGCAGGAAGTAACCCAGCTGATTTAGATGATCCTGCAGTCGCGCTCTGAACCACACCGCCGACCTCTGACCCTCCGCCTTTCCCTGGAAAAAAGAAAATGAGCTTTGTATTTCTGCGCTTTGTGTGTCCTATAGAAATTCTACGACTGTCGAACGTCGAGCACAATGCACCTATTGTCACGCATTTTTGCACGATGCAATCTGTACGATACATCCGTTGTACGTCATCAAATATTCAGTTCGAGAATTATTTCCTGAAATCCACAGTTAATAAAACAATTGCTCATCGTCGCGGCTTTGCCTTTCGATGAAATCTACGTATCGCGTTACTGATTTTGGTGCGACCTGTATCCGAGAATAATTCCGCCGGCGTTACGCGGAATGAGAACGGGTGCAGCCGGTTTCCGGGAAAAATCGGTGAACGCACCCATCGCCGCCGGGGTGGGGTCGTGAGTGCACCGGGGCCTTTAAATTCGTCGCGTGGGTTTGGCGGGATGACAAGTGGCGGAAACGGCGGAAAAGAAGAAAAAGCGAGAGTGAGGCGGAGGAAGAGACGGCAAGGGACAAGGACAGAAGAGGAGGTGGAGACGACGGTCCGGGCTTTTAGAGCGAAGTTACGGTTGCTTAAACGAAACTGAGAGAGATCGAGAGAAATACAGAGAGTAAAGGAGAAGGTCGAGGAGGAGAGGGGTGATCATACAAGGAGAAGTCAGGGCCTTGCGGAGAGGAGAGGAGAGGAGAGGAGGGAAAGCTGCGCTTGCAACATTGCGAGCGGCAACGCTGCACACTACCTGGTGGCCGCTCTGACAATATGTACCGTGGACCACCCGCAACAATGTCTATCTTTCGAGGTAGCGAGGAAAGGAGAGGGATGTCTAATCCAGACAGAGAGGAGGAGAGAAGTCAATTGGAAGGAGCACTCGCTACTTCTTCCTTATCCTCCCTCTTGTTCGGCGAATAAGCAAACATGGTTTGATTTGTGATAAACAAGTCTCGCGGATCATCAAGGCAGAACTCGCGCTACATGCGCGATACAATATAATTACTGTTCGAATTGTTTAGTGATGCGTTTTTTTTACAGAGTTTATATCATAATTCAAAAAAAAATGTAAGCATATCCTTTTCCGGCAAACATTTAGTTATTTAAAATATAGAGAAAGCATTGCATCCAGAATTAAAATTTTGGTACATTAAGTTTCTAGTAAAAAAATCTGTTTGGAACTTGAACAATTTTGCCGATTTGTCTCTGCACAGAACTCGAAAATTATTGGACGACTATAAATGATTGCCGCGTGTCAAAGAAGAGCGAAGGAGCACGTCTTTTGCTCGTCATCGGTCTAAATGCCGATCTTTCGCACACCAAGAAGTACAGTTATCTTTTAAAGAGCGTAACGCGCTCGCGCGCACCGCAGCTGACAGACGAAAATGTGGATTATGCGTGGCTACGGCTCGGAGGCCGGTAGCTACATCGAGTATCGGATAGCGAAGTTTTCCAGCCAATTAACTCTCGGTAGCGTGCGGATCTGCTTGCGGTCAGCTGCTCGGGCCCCACCCCGGTAACTCTAGACACGCGGACAATCCGCGTCCGCCACATGGTGTGCAGTGGGGGTCCAACGCGTTATGCGTGACTTTTGCCCTCAAGCTTTTCTAGGAGAAAATGCACAGGTAGCGGTTGTAGTACCGGTATTCCGAATGCCGATGTCTTAATTGGCAATATTTCAGCATTTATCACATAAACATCCAATCTATTACATTTGTACGGAAAAATTGACAATGTCTGAAATAGGATAGAATAAACACGGAACTGTCACTGATAAAAAAATTTATTTTATGAAGATCGAAGAGAGAAACATGATACAAGATCTTCTATTTGATAGAAAATAGAAGAAATTATTTGGAAAATTCATGTGTAATAATTTTGTTATTCCCGGCGTAATTTTAATAAATTCTCTAACTAATTTGTAGTCGATTTTTTCAACAAAAATGATTTCTGAGTTATAGACAAATAGAAAACTCTGGAGAACAGACAGCCGGAAAAAATTGTAAATATTTTACAAAAATTTGAATTTAAATCTCGGTTATAGAGATGTAAATATATAAATGATTCCGCTTCGCAACATTTTCGCGATTGAGAAAATCGACTCCGAGTTCGTCCAAAAATTTGTTATTAAAGTCGCGATTTGTGAGACACCCTCTATACTACCGAGAGCGCGCACACCGGTATTTTCACCGACCGTTTCGAGAAAGAAACCGAAAGGACGAAGAAGAAGAAGAAGAAGAAGTAAAAGGAAGTCGAGACGCCACGAGTCGCTCTCGAGACGTCTATATAGCGTCCACACACGCGGCAGCGCGCGAGAGAGACAGGACGAGAGAGAGAGAGAGAAAGACAGAGGATGGGCGGGAAAAAAAGGGGGAGAAAGGGGGTACTGAGATGGTTCCCCCCTTTTTCCCGTAAGTGGTCTCTCTCTCTCACCGCGGGCCTTATGGGGTTTCTCCCGGCGGTGGGCAGTGTATCTACATATTACAAGCTCGCGGCGCGGAGGACCACCGTCGTTGACATAAGATCCTGTTATGCTGTCTGCTATCTCTCGGCGCAGCTCGTGTCGCGCCATAAAAAACATTAAAAGTACGAGTAACATAAATTCGTTAAGCGCGGCGGCGGCGGCGGCGGCGGCGGCGGCGGTCGCCTCGCTTCTCTCTCGCGACTCGTTTCTCCCGCGAGAGTGCCCTCCTCGAGAAACGCGACGAGCCCGATCGCTCGCTCGAACACTCTCACCCTTTTCACTCGTCGGGGCTCTTTGTGTCTCCTCTATCTCTACTCTCGTTGCGATTCTTTTGCTTTATTACCCGTCGATTATACTGTCGACGCCGTATCTCATGCCCGCACGTACGTACTTCAAGTAATATGCAACAAATGTGTAATAATAAAACAAGCGTATAATAGCGACGCGAATATGCGCCTCTGAAGCTACTAAATGCGTTCTTTCATTCACTGATTCGAGAGGACAAACTAATCAGAAAAAGGACAGTAATTTTTTTCACACACACACACACAGTCACTGGTATTTAAAAAAATTCTGCGGTACTTATGAAAAATTAACATGTCTCGTGAAATGTTTCATGCAAATTCTTCTCTTCAAATTCCACTCGTATTGTGGGGACTCCACTCAGTATGCGCGTACACGTAACTCACATGGTACACATGGTCCAGCCGGACAAACGAAGATGTTCTTGTGGTAGGCACGACGCGGGAAGTGTACGCAAGAAACTGGATCCGGCCGACGCTCTCTAATCGGCAGAGGAATTCCATGGTCTATTCGAAAGGGAAATCCAAAGGTCGGACAGTTCGTCCGACGCGAGTTATCAAGACTATCGGTAATTACGAGCACTGCCCTTTCGCATCTCGAGCTTTCTAGTTTAAAATTTTGTTTTTAATTTTGATATGACTGAGAGTTTCTCCATAAAATTCCAGTTTATGATAAAAAGTTTTTTGAAATAAAAATAGCAGATATCTATTATCTCTCTCTCTCTCCTCTCTCTCTCTCTCTTCTCTCTCTCTCTCTCTCTCTCTCTCTCTCTCTATTTGAGTGCGATAAGATATAAAAATGTCACATTTTTGGGAAGCAAAGATTAAAAGATTGGGTGAAATTTAGAAAAGTTCCATTTAGGAACCGACTTCTTCAGTTTGTATGGGAGATAAAGTTGTAACCCCGCTCCGAGGGAGACTGTCGACGCCTCGGGGGATAAGAGGGAAAGATCATGGCTCAAATAATCTTGCAAAATTGACAGCATAAAGAGTACTATTTGAACTTTCGAGATTTTGGGATTATTTATATATATAATATACAAAAACGGAAGCTAGACGACACATACAGGATGGCCGAAGATGAAAGGCGACCGATCGACGCCAGGTCGTGTGGGCGTACATCCTTGAGCAAGGATGAAAGGGACAGGCCGACTCTTAAGGCGCATCTCGGCACACTTCACGGTCATCTGAAATCTGAGGAAAAGCGTAACGACCGGCGTCCTTGGGATTTTTCACGCGTTTAGGACAAAGCTTACCGCCGATGCGTGAGAAACGTAGAAAGCACGATACGCGTTTGTGCGAAATCCCGACTCCGACGGCGATGGACCACTCACGAAGAGACCACGAACTCGAAATTTTCAACTCGCCACTTTTTCGCCAGCGATGAATAATATTTCTGCTTATAAGTGAGATATATTTAGAGAGCTTTGCACATCAGCAGGCAGTTCAGCCGAGCGATTCTAAGACGAGAGTAATGCTTCTCGGATTACACGTCTATGTACGTTTTTACCTAAAAGAAGAGCGACGCGACCGCATTCTTCAGCTGCAAAACCGCGGAGGGATAAACTTCTCGGAAAAATAGAATTAAACTGTTCGTCTCCCCTTCCCTCGTGTTGTTTCTAAAAGGAAAAGGGTTCTCCCGCTTGTCCTAGTTCTATGACGCATCCTGACTAAAAATAGATGCTTGTTGTTACAGTGGAAATAAGATTAGTATATCATAAGTATTTCGAATAACGGAAGAGTTTACACGCGCGGCAAAGGACTGCTACAAAACGAATTACATTGGTTTACATTCTGTTAGAATTGCAAATTAGTTAGATTGCTGATATTCCAGTTAGTGCGCAACGGTACATGGAACAAAGTTTAACATATCACGAGGCGATAATTAAATTTTATTACGATTTAATGTGTAATTGTGTAATTTATCTTTAAATCGGAATAAAATTGTTCCTCGTTTCTTTAGATTGTTTCTTTCGAACCAAATGTACAGTTCACGTACAATTACAATGCATTCTGTCAATAATAGATTTTAAGACAAGTGCGGCATCTTGTTCAATGAAAATTTGAAGAAGATCGTTCAAAACCTGTGTTGCGTTTATCATTTTCAACATAAAAAATTTGACAATTAAAGAACGGATTGTGAAATTTTATCACCGAACAAGACATATTCGGTACTTTTCGGACACCATGTACACACAGACAAGTTTCGCCTTCAAGGCGATGTGTGCGCGCCGTGCGTCTCCACCCTCTCGTAGGTATTATTAGTGTTGGAAGTCCCTCACACGTAGTGTCGGCGCCCTTTAATCTCACTCGCACACACATACGGGCGTGCAAACGCGTGCGTGAATGCTCGGTATTGTGGACCGCGCGCCGACGACGACGACGACGACGACGACGGCGACGATCGGCTTTCAGCTGCCAGAAATTAAGACACAGATTACGGAATAGTGCGCCCGTACGCTATTTCGTGCCGCTGGAATTCAGCGTTTATCTTCGATCGTGATCTTTACGGGCGATCGTCTCGAATCGGTTAGCAGTGGTAGTGTATGGTACACGCGTTGAGAGATTCTTTGTAATCAACAAATTCCCCTCGGAACATCGTATTCGGTTAATGTCATTAAGAAACGCCAGATCGAGATGAATCAATTATATTAAATCATTACAGGTAAGTATCGCATTTTATTTTATTATAGTTTGTTATCTATTTCTTCACAATAAAATGCAAACAATTTAAAAATTATTTTTTTATTTATAATACAAATAATTAAGTTCGTAATAATTTGCAGAGAGATTATAAATTTTTATAATATTTTTTATAATAATTTTATTTTTTATTTTATCAATCAATAATAATTATCAAAAATAAATTTCAATGACAGATAAAAAAAAATAAGTAAAATTTATAAAATCCAAAAATGGAACGTTTACCAGTGATGAGTTTGCAGAACCGATTTTAAGAGAGTAATAATTAATTTAAGAGTAATTACTAATTTAGAGCACCCTGCTTAGATTTCCTCTTCAAAAAGTCCAAATCAAGAACTTTATTTAAAATAGAATTTTTTCGCATCGACCTAATAATAAATTTGCCGCAATCCGCTACGAGTCTTTATGCATACGCATGAACGGACGCGAGATGGTGCAGCGGGTCGAGGTCAGTACCCGTGGCTGAATCGTCCCTCGTGAACGTAAACAAATTGGAGTAAATGAACTCTGACGCGCGCGCGAGTGTGTGTGACGCGGCGATGATAACGGATCTACGTATTCTGTAAACATTCGGTCGGCGCGCGAGTGCATATGCATACGCACACAGCCATGCGGCGCAAGGCCAAGGTTGATCCGACGATCGAGTTGCATTCTCAATAAGAATAAATCAATTTCGATCAGCGGTGCTTGGCGCATTTGGCTCCGTTAAAAGTGAAACTACTGCCTAATTCTTTTGACGGCCGAGTCGGAAAAAATGGACGTTCTCGCGAATTCGGAGACTATGTAGAAAAGTTTGTGTATCGCGGAATATTAAGCAGCGATGTTGAAATTACTTAAATCAGTAGCTTTTCGAATGTACAATTATTATGAAAATTAAATATTATGTTGTAATGATATGTTTAATGACACATTTTGTTATTTTTATGCAAAACACAATCTAAAGATGCTGAAAAAAATATCGCGATGTTGATATATTCAATTTTGGAGTTTGACGTGTGGATTAATGAAACATGTGTAACTGTCGCTAAAAACTTTATCTAATTGTACTTTATTAAATTATCTCTCCGCGTATAAAGAGCATCAAACATTATTCTATCGTTGGATATCAGCGTAAATTTAAAGAAGCGCCTCATCGAGTAAATTGCCCTAAATTAAGTCGGCTCGAAGGAGATCAGGGTACACGATAACGATATAAAAATTGGGTGATAGCATTATTTTCGAAGAAACACACCATGTTTTTACGCACACATACGCACCCCTTTCGATATTTCTCCGGCACCGACAAAACTAATTCATCACGTTCCATTATCATCCTGCACATAAATCCTCCCGAGAGAATCAGCCTCCCTTCTTTCGCGAACGGGAAAAAAGGAAGAGAAGGAAACAGACCCGTATGCATGCGTCTCCGTACGCATACGCATACGCATACGCATACGCATACACACACACACACACACACACACGCACGCACTATTCGCCTTGTGGAGGCCGGGGCCACTGACTCACTGACTCATTCGGCATAAACGCGAGGCACGAAGAGGCTCTCCTTCTCTTCTTCTTCGACCGCGAGCCGATTTCGTCGAGAAGAAAAGTGGAGCATCGACCTCGAATTTAGTCTTTTTGTCTCTCACACATACATCGACTGTCAACACCTCATCCGCGATCGCGCATCCCGCGATTGTGCAATCGCGTGAATTACTGCGCCCCGTGGAATCTCGAAAAAATCCTCCGCGTCTCTTATCTCTCGTTCAATCGCGCGTTGCGAATATCAAAGAGACGATAAAGTCCGAAAAATGTATACTGAGATGAGAATTCGAATTGGATAGCTTTGTCGCATAAAATCGAAGCTTAGCTAATTAGGCTGAATATGTATTAATTTAAACGGAACATTATTTAATTAATGCACTAACTTTTAATTAAATCCGCTGTCATTAATATTTTAATCGATACTTGCCAGCAAAATTTATTTCTTGATTTCCAAAAAATATTGTTTTAATCGATTTACGTGTGCGAATGTGTAATAAATATTGCTTGACATTCCAATGAATAGCTTTGGTAATTTTTTATAGTATATATCGTAGCTACTATTTTACCGTCAAAAACTACAATCCAATACCAGCAAAGTTGGTTTCGACGAAAACATGAGCGACGGTGCGATTTCTCGATTTCAACAGGACGACCCGGTACATCCGCGATGTGGAAATCGCTCGTGCGACCACCCAGCGCGACTATCGCGAGCAAAAAGTTCGCGGAGGCCTGCTACTCGCTTCGTCTCTTATTATAGGTGCACGTTTCTCGGACCATCAGCCGGGATACGTCGAACGCAATTAAAAATAGCATCAGCACGGACTTAATGTAACATTCTTTTGTCACTCGATTGCGTGGTAAATCAAGATCAATTAAAAATGACGCGTGAACATAAATTAAACACGATACTTCGCAAATAAATATCACACAATTCTCGTTGGAATAAACATACAAAAAATGTGAAAGTATCGTCGTCCAATGCTACGGCACAGAAGCAGAAATGCGAAGAAAACGAAACACGCACTATTGTAGGTATTAATGAAATTTATTACGGAACTAAATTATATCTGATTCCGAAAACTTGCCGGAATGCTTTCTCAGCGAGAATGTTAAAATTTACAAGAAAAGAAACAAAGTAAAATACATTGAATCGCGCGGTAATCTCAATGGAAATTTTCGGAGCCGAATCGATAAAAAAACAAATCAATACTACGCGCAAATGCGGATTGATCCTATCGAAGAAGGCATCCTCGAAAGGCGATACCATCCGGTTCACGTGTCTCGCACATTTTCGTATTTTCGTAGGGAGAATCTCAGGGCCCGATCTTTGTCGCGCGAACAGATCTCACGAAATTTTTCTAGATGCAGGGTGACGACGTTTCAGCCTCTCCGTGGACCCCGGCAGGAAGTCGATCTTTCGATCTGTAAACCCTCGAAAAACGCGTCTCGGGACCACCCGCGTATGTGAAAGTTCGCAGCTAGTCGACATGTAACTCTTATAGAAAGACAGCCGCAATGACTGCCTTTATAATGTGCGTATGTGTGTATGTGAGATTAATGCGTAACGCCAGTGAGAGAGCGACCTAGTACGCGTGTGAAAATATTTCGGAAGTTTATCAAACGGAAAGAACAATCTCCCTTATTTTGTAAATAATGCTTTCAGATAGAGTTCTTGTTTATCAAAAGCAAAAGAGTAATTTTTAATGGTTCTTTGGAATTGATATTAAATAATTAACTAAAGTTTCTAGATAAAAGTTTTCCAAAAGAAAATATTATAATATAGAAAAATTTGATTTTACATTTTCAACTACTGTATCATTGTGTGCATGAATATTTTAATAGTTTCTATATTTCTTAACAAAGAATAAAATAGTTTTAGCTGCTAAACAAAAAAATAGCACACTACAAACTAAGAAGTAGATCCACAAAATCTAGAAAAAGTTTTGCCTTGTAAAAGTTAACAACATTAATTACAATTGAAGAGAAAATGATATAAGCATGTGAAGATAAAACATAGATACTTCTGAATTCCGTGTGTACAGTTTATGTGCTTCCACGAAATTCAAAAGAAAAAGATAAACATGGCGCAACCGATGGCGCAGAAATGCTGCCGTATATAGCTTTCTCGCCTTAAGCACATAAAATGTAAATAAGTCCAGCTGAAAAGAACGAAATTTAATCTCCACCACTCACCGCTCGCAGCTGCAACCGGACATATATCGCGGCATCCAAACGCGTCAGAAGAATCAAGATTCATCGCCGTTAACCTCAACGGTCGCTGACGGTCGCCGACCGCAGTGTGCATCCTCGACCTTCGGCTCGAGTCCGTATTCAAGTTTCTTCATATTTTGCACAACACACACCACGCGCGCGCACGCGACAACGAAGATGAGAACAATCGCGTTTTCCGACGTAAACTCATCGCACGCTCGCTTTTGCTGATCTTTTATTTTCAAACACGACTTTCTATCCACCGGAATTCGATAGATGATTTGCAAGATCTTTCTTGATCGATTCCAGCCCCCTTTGCTAACCGTCGTTTGCAGTATTGCCATTCGCTTCGTCGTTTCCGTACAAGATTACCAGCTATTAAGGTATATCCGTAAAAAGATGCATAAGGAAATGGACCAATCCAATTCCTTATATGCGTATGCGCAATGCAGGTTTATCTGGATGTACCTTTACCACTCGCTTTAATCAATTTTTATTCAGTTGGTCATCCTTGGTCCCCTGCAGAGCTACCGCCAACCGGAGTTTGAGTTACGCGACAAATACGCGCCATTATCGTTTTCCGTATTTCGGTGAGTTTGCGGTAGCGAAAGTATGCGGTATCTGAATCGTGCTATTGCGAAAGGAATTTCTGTCGAAAATGCTAATTGCGGAATATCATCGCGATGAATCGTCACTTGTTGCACTTTAGCATAGAGAAGTGATCGCATCCGGGAGTGAAAGATCGCGAACATGTGAAAAATTTACGCCAGCTCTACCGAGTATACATACTTGTATCGTTGCATCGGTCAAAATTGTGTGTGTGTGTGTGCAGAAGCTTGAATATTTATACGGATCGAGGATCGATATACGCTACGGTCATCTACTGTCAAAGAGATTGGACAGCGGAAGGCCCGATTTTCGTGATGCGATGAATGCTACGATTTACATTTGATTCTAGTTGCGAACGGTGAGTCCCAAGTATGTGTTCACTTTCGTTCTTTGCAGCTACGATTGCTCTTGCTAAAAATGAGAAAGTTGTACGGCGGCATTTCTGCAGCATTGGTATGTTTATCTTTTCTCATTCCGAGATTTTTCCACACAATGACTTTACGGCACAAATATTGCGAATCCTTGCACGGCGTATCAGTGAATGCATGCGAACGCGGCGTATTATTTTGTTGAAATTCATAGTCCGTTGAAACATTTTGAATTTATTGATAATTGAGAGGCAGAAACGGTACTTTCGAGAAATGTGATTTCACGGCTGCAGCAACAAACATAATCGGTAATACCACTTTCTCGAAGTTCCTCGCCGACGACGTCGATAAGAACCAGTAGCGTTAACCGCTGTTAAAACGTATATTCGATCGTCAAAATGCGCATCGTTAATCGCCGATCGGAGATAGCGCAACGCCACGGTAAGAAGTAACGGCGCCGTTATCGCAAACGGTCAATATAATTTGCATCGAAATCATACGCTTATCTTTGTGCATCCGAAAGGACCGATACGCACGTCGGATTGTACCGGCGCTATTATCTACATCTAGTTGATGTAACGAGAATAGATAGACAAAGAAATTATTTAACCATCTTAATTAGTCGTCTCGTTTCCTCGTGATAAACGTAATGCACATTAACGCAATGTTTACACATAGATAATTTCGATGATAGGCAGAGATACGTTTACCTTCCTTTATTGTCTCCACATCACATCAAACTTCCCTATCAAACCTGCGTATTCTCTCTAAATCTTGATAAGATATGTTAAAAGTTAAATCTTTCATGGAGTTTCCCATAAAATAATCGATAAGAAAAAAATTCGAGACATTTAAATACATATGTAAAGAATGTTCACTTATCGAATGCCTTTATAAAATTTTTGATGTGAAATAGCACGAGGGTGAATGAGAAAATAAAGACATTTTCAATGAGAAATTCAATGATAAGAAATAGTAAACAATCCATAAACTGTGTGTAGTACACTCGCACTTGAAACCCTCAAGGCGTTCCAAACAAACAGTTCATCATACTCAAACAGTGACCAATTATGACGCTGCGATAAATATCGTACACATCTCGGGACAATAGAGAATATAAATAAGCTCGATTTCACAAACAGATAATCCATTCCTGACCCGAGTTTATACCAGTCCCTTTTTCGACACTCCTTGACCGTGAAAGGATTATGAGTGGAATTCTTACCTTCTCGAGTTGATCCAGCGCTATCGCGGCGTCCGTCCAGCTGGGCCTGATGTAGAGATCCGATGCGTGCCGGATCTTCGCGCTTTCCGCCGCCCTCGCCGCGTCCTTCTCGCATTCCGCGTCTCCATTCTGCCGCGAGCCCTGCGATCCAGAAGGGCGTCCCGCTAGGATCCCTGTGGATATGGGGCCGGACGCGGAAACCATGATCCGTCATGCATTCGCCCACACGCCACACGCGCGATTATAACTTTCCGAATTCGTTCCTCACCTTCGCCCGCTTTCTTCGCTCTTTCTTTCTCTTTCACCGACCGATTGATCTTTAACTTCTCATCGATCTCTCGTTACAAATCTCCTGTTGCGGTTCGCCAGAGATCCCGACAACCTTCGAGGCAATAAATAACTTCACGTTGACGTTTTAATATCGGTGTCCTTTTTTTTTTTTCTTAAAGGGGGGACGATCTGGTTCTAGATCGGAAGGCGCGGTCTCCTCTTCTTGGACCGTCGGCGAATTCGAACGTACCGAACTGAACGCGTTACCTTCGCACTCACTGCCCGGAAAATCGTAACACCTTTCGAGAGCACTTCTTCACCAACACTGTCCGCGTTTCGCGCGTATCATACTACGTAACTCTGCGCTTCGCTCGTAATTCGCGCACGAGGATTACAAACGGCGATGCGCATGCGCTCGTCTTCCTGATATATCGCGCCGACGGGATCGGTTTTTAGGTTACCGCAAGCGTAAATACGTCGCGTTCCTGTCGTCCTTTCTTTCTCTCCCTTTCTCATTCCCTCGTACTGGCGGAGTTGAGAACGCGCTAGCGCGAGAACGAAGGCGCGCGATAAAGAAAAATGTATCACGCGACGATCGATTCTTCCCACGTATACGATCGATCACGTGCCGTCGCGCGAGTTAATCCGCGAATCCGGCTGGGCCCGCTCCGGGGCCCGGCTTGCCGCGCGTTGTCACTGTCACCACTGTAGATCGTTGTCGTCGTCGTCGTCGTCGTCGTCGTCGGGCGCGCTCGCAGGTTACGACGGACCCTCTGCACGAGTCTCTGATGCGTCCCGGTGTTGAATGATCGTGCGTGAAGGTGCGACGACGGATGCCGGCGTGCACACGACCGCCACTTAGAGCAGTCTAAGTCGGTACTAAGCGAAACGCGCTGCCACATTTCTTTCGTAGCCTGCCTGCCGCGCCGGCCATAGTTGACGATGAGCCCCTTCTCCGACGGCGCTGCAGGTTCGGGACTGCGCAAACATTCAGGCTCGTAATCGCAGGCCTCTCTCAATACGACCTGGGGTCCGTTGTACAAGTAAAATTATTTTTGATACTTTGCTTGAGGAAACCTAAAAATCATTCCACATATATTCAAAATAGTTTAAATAATTGACGATAAGAAATAGTTTTCCGTTTTTTTTTACGTTTTTAAGCCTTTCGATTTGAAATAAAAAATACTAGTTTTCTGAAACTTAATACATAAGCGAAAACTGATCGTTTCAATGCGTATTTTTAATAGTTCAAAAATCATGTGACATATGTTTGTCATATAATATCTAATATTATGTGACAAAAGTTAATTTTCTTTATTTTTAATAGCGGGTTTTTGTGCTCCTAGGAAACTATATTAGCTTACTATATTAGGAAACTATATTAGCCGTATATCGATTATCTATCAGATTTGAATTAATAAACATTGATTGAAGTGCACGTTTACGTATTTACATTGTAAAATTAGTGCATTATGTCGCGTTTGCTCGATCGATTAACGATCAGGCATCGATGAATCGCCCTCGATCGATGCGCTACTGCAAACAGGAATGACGTCAAAACCGAATGCAGTCGAGAAAGTCCGAAGTGTCGGGGACTCGGAGACGACTGGTGGAGGCGCCTTAACGTTCCGCGTGCTAGGATACCTGGGGGACTAGCGCGAGGGGAGTCGACTCTAAGACCACACACGCGTTGCCATTTTCCCTGGAGCAAAAACAGTACCTACACGGAGACACGCGGCATACACACACACACACACGCGCGCCACAATACACATACAATTGCGCTACACGCGCGATCGGCCGGTGTGCAGTGGTGCCTAGACATACGAAAAATCTAAAATTTTCGAAAGCTTTAATCTAGAAAAGATTCCAATACACTCGCGTAATCTAGATTTGCTAATGAAAGAAATTAGAATAAAAGCATCATGCATAACAATATTTTTAAATCAAAGCGATTGTCAATGTGATAAAATCTTTAATTTATGTGGTACAAAAAAGCAAATTAATACTTTTAAATATGCGGAGGAATATTTATGTATTCTTAGAAATGAAAAACCAATCTAAAATTTGCAAGAGAAGCACCGTTAAATTTTTCTTATCTTACGTAACTTCTAATCTTATTACGTAATAAATGTCAACACTTTTTTTATTTACGCTGGCGAGTAGAAGAAAAATGGTTTTACAAATAGTAAAAATAACATTTCCGACAGTGTGATCTGCAGTAGTTATAATGATGTAAAAAACTGAGATTTTTTTTGTTCACATTAGAAATTTGGATCTATTCTGAAACAGTTATCATATTTCTAACGTAAAATCTTATTTAATTATCATTATACAGTATCTAAATGATCTGTTCTTTATCTCTTCTCTCAGCGTTTCTACAGCACTCCTTTATGCGCGTGCCGTGCATTTATTTGTTTACCTGCGTGCTTATTTGGAGAGAAAATCACCGTGAGATCAATACTGCGGCGCCGTTGAAGGCTGAGATTCGCATTCGTATTCCACATTTTCGGCACTAAATGTGGTCATTTAATTCTCAATTCTAAAATAACATTGCACACGATTTTTATATAAAGCGAATAAAATTCCACATTAAAGAATTTTTAACGTTGAATCTCGGATATTAATGCAAATCTTACTGTACTAAAAATACTACTGATTTGCGAAGAAATTTTTATTAGCATTAAATTATTCGTTAATTACTTCAGACCATTTCCAGTATTTTAATACAAAAATGCACATAAGTAGGATATTTTTATGTTTAATAAGAGATAAGAAAAATACAAGTTTCCTCAGACTCACATTTTATCAGTTTTGATTTTTTGATATAAAATCTAATCTTACATTGAATTTTTCGGCATTCTATTATGCTGTAAAATTGCACATTAAATTCTTTTGTTACAACTGTAAAGACTTAACTCTTTTGAATCGAAGATTACATTCGCGCGCGATACTTTTCTCGTCGAGGTTTGAGTGTGTAAGTGCGTGGGAGTGAAGGCCGGCTGTTTCCGATGCTGTTCATTAAGTCGCGCGCCGGTTAACGTATTAAGCTGTCGTCATAATATCTGCATAACGATGCGACTTCATTAGACATCGTACAATGGTCTCTCATGTACACACGAATGCAATTAAAAAAAGAAGAAACTCTCAGTGTTACAAGATACTGAATTAAACTGAATTAAAACATATTTATTGACGGTATTAATGGAATGTTGTAACTGTTTTAGGAAACTTATATTTGGACAATACCTTTTTTCAAGAACGTTTTGCTTTGTATTAAGACAATAACAAAATATTAGATAACAGATTATAGAAAAAAGAAATAATAGCTACACTTATCCTGTGCTTTACAAATGTTTTTGCAGATATCATTTAGGCGTATAGAGCCTGTTTTGATGAGAAACGATTTTTAAGAAATATCGCATCTTACTGTCTCTTTTATGCGTCAGTATTAACGTCCTTCGGCATCGGAAGATTTTACGCACGGCCGTTGTAAAGTTCTTAGTTAATAAAACAAAAGGAAAATAAAATAAAACGCTCCACATGTTCTGCATGAAGAAGAAAGGAAGAAGAATAAGAGGAAAAAGACAATGAAAAAGAAGCGGAGCGATCTTTGCGTATTGTCCCCTTTGACGAATGCACCCCGCAGTCGCCGTCGATCGACGATAAGGAACGCGCGCGCGCGTTGAGGAACCGTTAATAATTTTTACGACACTCTTAACTCGCCACCCGGTATTAAGCGGTCCTCCGTAGGAGACGAGCTTTGATCTTTGCCGACGCTGCTGTGTCGGCTTAATGAGTGCAGGAGTGAGATAGCGGCTGAGTCAGCGCGCGTATAGAACCGCCTGTGCTTCTCGTCGACGCGATGCATAGATGCGCATCACGTTGCAGAATCTCAGGCGCAATCTACCGAATAATTTTGTAAATAATCGACACACACACAATTTTCTCTTTAAAATTAATTATATATTTTATTACATCCTGCAGATTAAAAGAAATATGATTATATGAAAAAGACTGGTGAATTCTACAATTAAATATTTTTGTTGCAGTACTTGCTTGTACTGTAAAATTAGAAATCAAGGAGAATGAGTTTTGCATTCAAATGTTTCTCATATACAATGTACAAAGCGTTATTCAAATTACTGATAAGATTCCTTAAACGATTCGAGAGCTAAGTATTTAGGACAGTCGAAACATGTTAAAAATTAACATATGATTTGATTATTTGTGTATATTTTATTTTTTAATGTTTTTCTAATTAAATTTTGATGTAAAGACGTATCTTCCAAGACGTATATTTACACGGTAAGATAAATGCGATACAGAGCATAAATATTCATAAGTACGAAAAGATTAAATGTCAGTTTTACAGATGCTACTTAATCCAACCGCAACTTTAATCCCTTGTGGTCTAAATTAATCTCAACAATCTCTATTTTATTTCAATTTTAATTTTATTACTAATTCTTGCATAACAAATAACGATTGTTACTTTCAATTTCGGAATTTAAATAGTAATTTGTGATCATTAACGTATTTAATAGAGAGGTAGTTTTCGGATCATTCGAAAGATGAAATTGGACAAGTTTAAATTAACGAGACCCACAGAAAAGGTATTTTATACTTCTCTTTCAGAAACTTGCCTATTAAATCCTTATAATGTTATCTTAAATAATGGAAAATAAAATAATATTTTTACATTAATATATTTGATTTAATATTAACGTTATTAGGATTTAATAAATAAGTTTTGGAAGAGAAGTATAAAATTTTTTCTTTGTAGACCTCGTCAATTTAATCTGTCTAATTTCATTTTTGAAATTATCTGAAAACTACCTCTCTATTTGATCAAAACAAAAAAATTTTAAAAAGCGGGAGCAAGAGAAAAACGGAGGGAACGAGAGAGAAAAAGTGAGAAGTGATAGAGAAAGAGAGAGAGAGAGAGAGAGAGAGAGAGAGAGAGAGAGAGAAGAAGAGAGAGAGAGAGAGAGCGAGAGAGCGAGATAGAGGGGAGAGAGGGAAAGAGTTGGAGAGGAAGATATCCGACTTACTAATTGCAGCGACGTCGGTGGTCCGGAGGCACACCGCGGGCCATAATGAAAAGCAATATGGTCAGGATACATGGTACGGATCCGCTCGGACTCTCATCTCGGTGACTATCCCGAATTAAAATCGTAAATCCAGCTCGAAGGATTTGTAGCGGCGCCGCGTTCCGCTCTTAAACCACGGCGCGCGTCGCGTCCAAAATTCCGAAAAATGATTATTATGATTTTTTCACAGCTCTCGATTTGTCTCCAAAGAGGAGATGCTTTGAAAGATTTATCGCACGCGAGATACCCTCAAGCGCGTAGAGATTATTAAACGCGTAGTGAAACGGTTTTCATGTAAATTTGTTTTCCAAACGTACGTAATTTTCAACGAAAGCAAACGATAAAACGCATGAAATCTTAACAACAGAACAACAATTCTTTACTGATGGGAGCCTTCAAGCGAAGGTCACAATGAGGAACTGCTTTTCTTTCGGATGAAGACATTTCTGACGGAAAAATAAATTAAGACTGGACAGGTATTCCGTAAAAGATGTATAGCTACGGTTTGTTCGATACGGGGGCAGTTAAACAAAGTTGTAAAGACCCGGGGTAAGCCGCAAACGAACTAAATGATGGTTTACGAATTTAAGTGGAACGGATCACGGCGTTACAAGCGGTTGCCATTGTGTCGCGAGCACTTCTGAAACCCGTAAAGTCAGTAAATTTCCCGAACAGCGTGCCGCGTCGCGCTGCGCCGCGCCGAGGAATTATACCTGATCGTCCTCTGGGCGGAGAGAGAGATGTACGCTTGGCTCTACGTACGCTCTGTTTGCGTAGGACGGGGACCACCCAGGTCGGGCCGACGCCTCTGTCCCGCGTGGTGGATCCGACTTGGCGGAATCCTTCGCTTCGCCGGAGCGGAG